CACACACAGACAGACACACACACAGGCAGACACACACAGACAGACCGACAGACAGACAGCCACGCACAAATTGAATGACTGACTCCCGGAAAGGTGTAAACATTAATACTTTTGTTTCCTTTAACATCTCTCATTGCCTTTCTCAGCCTAACACTCAATTTATCTCACAGTTGCTCAGCAGGTTGCCGTTGCCCTGCAGAGTGGAGAACCCTCTGACCCTTATCCTTTCATACAACTTGTGAGGCATGAGCTCTAACCACTGAGCTACAGGACTCCACGCTCCATGCATCCCATCTACACACAATCCCAGACTTTGTTGGAATGGAATGTGCGCTCTCTCCATGGAGGGCGTATCCTGTATACTTAATTCCAAGCAGAGTTCTTCAATGATATAAAAATAATAATCAATTTTCTGGTTTAATTTTCTGGTACATGTGTGTGGAGTTGACATGGAGTCCTGTAGTTCAGTGGTCAGTATACTCGCTTCTCAAGCGAGAGGACCTGTTTGCCTAGCAGTAATTAGGAACCCGCTTGTTAGTCAATTGGCGGATTGCTTTCCAGAGGTATCCCTCCCCCACCAAAAACAATCACTGTTTGTGGGACACTGCTGTTGGTAATTGGCTGCCAAGTTTGGCTGCAGTCAATCCAATTTACAGTATAGACTGTGAAGAGCTTTGCGATGTCTCAATGACATGATAAGGCGATGTATCAAGTGCAAGGATTGTTACGATTATTATTTCCCCATACTCTTCCTACCTCAGCCCGGCTCCTACACCTTTCACATTAATCCATCACCTGACAGGACTCCCACTGCTAACCATTGGAGTTAGATCTGGATTTGGGAATGGGATTATAGCAGGAGTTACTCCAGACTAATCGCAAGCAATAACTAGGGGCTCGGGATCAAACACCTCTATAGATCGTGATTTATTAAATGAAATGAGAATTAAACAGGTTAGAGGATAACGGAGCAACATATTACAATTACTGATCTGGGAGTGTGGATGGACGCACAGTGTAGAGGGAGCTTTACTGTGTCTCTAACCCTGACCTGGGAGTGTGGACACACAGTGTAGAGGAGCGTTACTGTGTCTCTAACCCTGACCTGGGAGTGTGGACACACAGTGTAGAGGAGCTTTACTGTGTCTCTAACCCTGACCTGGGAGTGTGGACGCACAGTGTAGAGGAGCGTTACTGTCTCTCTAACCCTGACCTGGGAGTGTGGACGCACAGTGTAGAGGAGCGTTACTGTCTCTCTAACCCTGACCTGGGAGTGTGGGCGCACAGTGTAGAGAGAGCTTTACTGTGTCTCCAACCCGTGCTACAAGTGGGTTGGGGGTGGGGTGATGGCCTGCTTAGGGAAGCGCTGCTGTAATGTGCGTGGGGAGGGTGGGAGGGGGTGGTGTGGGCACTGTGTGTGACTGGCCTCAGACACTATACGTCAAAGTAAACTTTTATTAGATGCGGCAATTAGTTGAGGTGCGCTGTGGGTGATGGATGGTGTGCGCGTGTAGAGCACATTGCAGCGAGTCCAGCCTGTGATTTACGCAGCCTCGCTGCCTTTTTTATAGACTCCCCAGGTTTTATTGGAGCTTTATGTTATTTCACAGCCAGTTCTCATTTGAAAGTCTGTTTTAAAAATATCTCTCGAGCGAGTCAGCCAGGCTGACAGAGTTCAGTGCAGGTGACTGATGGCCTCCTGCTGATCTGGTTCCATGCTGATTGTAATTTGCCAGTAATTGCAGACAGAGGAAACCTAACCTCGAGGCTCCAGGTGAGGTTTTTGTTATATAATAAAAAATTGAAACAAGCTTGTTATTTTTTTTGCGGCGTTGAGCAGAGTACAAGCCGCGTAGCCATCAGCAACTAACCACGTCACTGGGAAGGGGGGGAAGCCCCAGGGGAGGGGTGTGCGTGTCTGTGTGTACTGCCATGTGAGATGTGCTAATTAACACCCCCAGCACTAATTAGCGCCCTGCGTTGAAAACGGCGACCAGTCAATAATTAACACAACCACAGCTAAGTTGAAGCTGAACAGAATACATTCCATCACACACAGAATCACTCACACTCCTCGCAGAGTAGCAATCCCTTGGGATATTTTAAAAGGAAGAGCGGGACACGGGGGAATGCAGTGTAGTGGTTAGAGCACTTGCCTCGCAAGCGAGAGGATCCGGGTTCAATTTCTGGTGAGGGGGAAACCTTTGGCAAGTTTCCTTACTCCACACACATGCCTCTGTCTATCCAGCAGTGAGTAGGAATCTGGTTGTTAGTCAATTGGGGGAAATCACTTTCCCTACAAACAAAAATGCCTTTTGTGGGGACACTGCTGTACGCAATTGGCTGCCGCTTTTCACCCATAGGTATATTCTGTGAAGCGCTTTGAGATGTCTCACCGACATGTAGGATTATTATTATTGTTATAGATGGGATTAACAGATCTGCTGTGACCTGATGACAGGGCGGAGCGGGGGAGAGGGGAAGCGCTGTGTGCCAGACTGTGTTTGGTGTGTGTGGGGCTGTGTTTGATGTTGCGGGGCTGTGTTTGATGTTGCGGGGCTGTGTTTGGTGGCGGTGTGGCTCCCATCTCCTGGTCCCTGCTCAGCCTATGCCCTATGCCCTTACTCCTCCGGAACTCAGCCTATGCCCTTACTCCTCCGTTCCCTTCCTCCAAAGGAAGGGAACCTTCCCTTCCTTTGAGCACCTCATCCTTTATCGTCCCTCCAAACTTTCCCTCAAAATTCTCTTTATCTATCGCCCCCTACCAAGCCCCCCCCCGCCCCCACCTTCATCCCCAACATCTCCACCCTCCTATCTTCCCTCTGCTTCGAACGCCTCCTGGGTGACTTGAACTTTCACTTCGCCCCTCCTGCTCTACCTCTGCTGACTTCTCCTCCCTCAACCTCTCTCTCTACATCCACTCCGCCACCCATGGCCACGGTCACCCCCTCGACCTGGTAATCACTCGGGCCTTACCACCTCGGATCTCACCATCATGAACAAAGGCATCTCGGATCATCACTTCATCTCCTTTACCTCCTCAATCCCTCTCCCCACCGCCACCCAACCCACCTCCATCTCCTACCGCCCGTGGAAAAAATCTCCCCCCACTCTCCCCAGTTATCTGAACTCCTTTCACTCTGGGCTTCCTCCAGCAATGACCTAACCTCCTCGGTCACTCTTCTGCACAGCTCCCTCTCCTCTACTCTCGATTCCCTTGCTGCCCTCTCTTCCGTCTCCAATTTGCGTAATTCACTATGGTACACCAGCCACCTCCGCTCCCTTAAGGACAGGTGCACCCCACTGAGCGCACTTGGCTTAAATCAAATTTAACGGTCCATCGGCAGATTTGGCTGGACCTTATCAAATCTTACTACTCCGCCCTCACCTCTGCTAAATCGACAATCTTGGAGGCCAAGGAGAACCCCAGGCTCCACTGGCTCCCCCTCACACAGAGGATACAGTTCAAGATCCTGGTCCTTACCTTCAAAGCCCTCCATGGTCTTGCTCCCCCCTACCTCTGCGACCTCCTAACCCCCTACCATCCTGCTCGCTCCCTCCGCTCAGCGGGCTCCGGCCTGCTTCACGTTCCCCACCTCACACGCCCCACTATTGGCAGGCGGACCTTCAGCCACTCTGCCCCTACCCTCTGGAACTCCATCCCGCAGTCCCTCCATCTCGCCCCCTCCCTTGCCTCCTTCAAGACCCATCTCAAGCCTCTTCGACCGAGCTTTCGATCGCCCTGTTTCCCCCTCCCTGCCCTCCCCAATCCCGACCGCCAGCTCAGGTCTGAAACTCTGACTGTCCGGCACCTCAGGACATCCTCCCAACATGAAAGGCACTATACACATGTAATTTGGTTGTTTTTGTTGTGTGTGTGGGGAGTAGGGGGCTGTGTGTGGGGAGTAGGGGACTGTGTGTGGGGAGTAGGGGCCGTGTGTGGGGAGTAGGGGGTGTGTGGGGAGTAGGGGGCGTGTGTGGGGAGTAGGGGGCTGTGTGTGGGGAGTAGGGGGCTGTGTGTGGGGAGTAGGGGGCTGTGTGTGGGGAGTAGGGGGTGTGTGGGGAGGGGGGTTGTCTGTGGGGAGTAGGGGGCCGTGTGTGGGGAGTAGGGGGCCGTGTGTGGGGAGTAGGGGGCCGTGTGTGGGGAGTAGGGGGCGTGTGTGGGGAGTAGGGGCCGTGTGTGGGGAGTAGGGGGCCGTGTGTGGGAGTGGGGGCCGTGTGTGGGGAGTAGGGGGCCGTGTGTGGGGAGTAGGGGGCCGTGTGTGGGGAGTAGGGGGCCGTGTGTGGGGAGTAGGGGGCCGTGTGTGGGGAGTAGGGGGCCGTGTGTGGTGGTAGTAGGGGGCCGTGTGTGGGGAGTAGGGGGCTGTGTGTGGGGAGGGAGCTACAGTCATCTGTAACACAGTACACTGAGGAAGTGGGAGCTATGGTAACAGCACAGACACACACACGTCAGTGAGACAGACTCTCACTCCTGACATGTTGTGAAAAAAGAATTTTAAATTTTAAAAGAAATGCTTCTTTTTCCAAAGACGAGATCATTTGCGTGAGTGACTGTCTGTGTGAGTGTGTCTGTGTGAATGTGTGTTTCTGTGCGTGTGTGTGTCTATACGCGTGTGTGTCTGTGCGTGTGTGTGCGAGGAGGAGGAGAAGGTTACTTTGCATTCAGGAAGGAAACGCACAGATCATAAGATTGTGTTTTATCAACTCCCCAACCGTACCTGTCCATGACACCATTGCCCTATTCAAGCCGGGATCCCACTGTTCGACTGCACTGAGTGACTCTCCAACAGATCAAGTCCCAATCCCCCACTCCACCCCCCCATTCCCCTACCCTGTCCCACACTCCATCCCCCCTCCCCCACCCCACTCCCCCACCCCATCCACCACTCCCCTACCCTATCCCCTGTTACCCCAACATCCCCCGCACCCCCACCCCATTTAACATGACATGTTTTGACGTGACATGGCATGTTTTGACATGACTTGGTGTGATCTGTGTGTGTTTTGCTGCAGTTCCCTCGTTCTGGGGGCTGGTGAACTCCGCCTGGAACCTGTGCTCGGTGGGAAAGAGGCAATCGCCCATCAATATCGAGACAAGCCACATGATCTTTGACCCCTTTCTTACGCCTCTGCGCATTAATACAGGGAGCAGGAAGGTAAGTGCCTTCCCCTACGCCCCTCCCCCACTGCACTTCAACCTCCACCCATTCCCCTACACCCCCCTTCCTGCCCTTCCTCCTCCTCTACCCTCCCCATCCATACCGCCCCACCGCCCTCGCCCTCCGCACCTCCCCCACCTACTCCGCCTCTCTCTCCCCACCCTCTTTCCCCTCTGCCCCTGCCCCCACCCCCCACCACCCCTTGCTCCGAGGTGTGGAGTGGGGAAAGGGAGAGATTGAGGAATCTCTTGAGCCCCTCCCCCGCCCCCCGGGGGATCCGTGTGTAATAATTACCTTTTTCCTTAAACTGAAATGAGAAAAAGGCTGAAGAGCGGGAGGAAACAGGGATGAATATTTATGAGGTTTTTAATGTTTTCGGTGTTTGTTGCCGGGACCAGCGACAGAGACCATAAATCCTGCTTTCAAAAATTTCCCTATTTTTAACCCCCTGTTTGCTGTGTGAATATTCCTGCTCTAACCAGGACCTGTTATGCCGAGCCGCTGGCTCTGGCCTGTCCAGGGTAACGTGGCGATGACCACGCGGGATTACCCACTGCCAGATCAAACACACACGTAGAAACAGGAGGAGGCCATTCAGCCCCTTGAGCCTGTTCCGCCATTCTATTGGATCATGGCTGATCTGAACCTCAACTGCAATTACCTGCCTTTGCCCCATACTGCTAATATTACTTGCCACACGCATGAATAGGCAACACTGGGTACACACACAGCGTGCACACACTTTGTCTGACTATAATATACACACACACAGAGAGCACACACTGTGTCTGACTACAATACACAGGCACGATAGTCACACAGTGAACGGATAGAGCGATGCTGGAGGCACTAACAGTGGCTCTCTCTCTATCTCTCACACTCGCACTCTCTCTCTCTCTCTCTGTGAAAGGAACCCTTTGCCCGGTGCCTTTTATGCATTGTCTTTGACAGAGCCTTTGTATATTACATTTCAATGCACAGCCTTTTCATGGCTGGTGTGTGTGTGTGTGTGTGTGTGTGCGTGTATGTGTCCAGCGCAGAGTGGCAACTCTTCACACCAGCTGATCTATTTCATGTAAATAAATAATATCCCCGACAGTCACGGCACACAAACACCCGGGTTAAATCAGCCGATTTTCAAAGCCCTTTTTTTCTAGGTCTTTGATATATGTAATATGATATTTTGGGATTTCTCAATCAGGCGTGTGTTACCTCGGCTCAGCCCCCACCAGGCACATGTACACACGCACATACAAACATGCACAGACATACACGTGCAAGGACACACGCAATGTTGGTGGCTTGTGTCTAATGGGGAGAGGGGAAGCCACACATAAGCAGCTTTAAGAGCTTTACGGTGGTTTCAGGACAATTGGATGGTTTGTTTGGCCGGGAGCCCAGGGGGGAAAAACAGCAATAAATTGTATTGAAACAGTGAATGGGAATTTGTCCCAAAGACAGCCCTGGGGGTGGGGGGGAGGGCAGTCTGTGGAATAGATTCCCCTTCACTTTTTCAACACAATTTATTGTTGGCTTAGCCTGGCTCAGTGTAAAGCTCTCTCTCACCTCTGAGACAGAAGATTACGGGTTCAAGCCCCCATGATGGGATTTGGAATCACGGTCTAAGCTGACCCGCCAATGCAGCCCTGGGGTTTGTTGCACTGTTAGAGATGTCGTCCTTCTGAAGAGATGTTAAACCGAGGTTGTCTCTCTGTTCATGTAGATGTTAAAGATCCTGCGGTGCTAATGGAAAAGTGATGGGACTCTCTCTCTCTCCCCATGTCCTGGCCAACAATCCCCCAAATAAAATTGGTCACTCACTCCATGGTTGTTTGTGTGACATCGCTGTGTGCAATTGGCTGCCATGTTTGCTTACAAATACACAGAGTCACTCCATTTCGCAATATATCCCGTGAAGCGCTTTGCGACATCCTTCCGACCTGATAGGGCGCTGTATGAAATGCAAGGATTATTATTTGGGGCCCAGACAGACAGACAGACAGACTGTGTGTGCTCAGAGAGCAGACGCGGCTGATCGCAGTTTGTTCCCTACTCCTTGCCTCTCTGTGAAATGCATTTGATAAGCCCCTGATGGTAGTGGTTATTGTGAATTATTTTTGAATGGATTTAATACAAGTGCGGAGGCCTGCCCTCCCACAGAGTGTTTAATGTAACCCCAGCCTTGCAATTCAGCTTCCAGAATAGCCAAATAATCTGTTTATTATAACCCACTGTGGAGCAAGGGGCCGGGATTGAGATCTGCTCAGTGTTTGCTGACAGTACACTCACCACATAATTACTGGCTGCTCCCACCTGCCATTGGCAACCCAGCTGCATGGCTCTAGCTCAGGTGCTGCATTACTGCGTTACTGAAGGCCAGAGCTGCAGCGCTTCATTGCTGAGGCCAGGCACTGCCATGCTGGAGCCTATGAGGGTATTTTACCCCCTGCAGAGCTAATGCTGACACAGAGCCACCACATGCTTGGCCTTTCCATCTCCGTCATGATTTCGTCTCAAACACTCCATTAACTCACACACACACACACGGGCGTGAGCAAGGCTATGTGCCTCCTCCGTCAAGCTCTAGCCTTTAATTCCATTTCCCCACGGTTTCGGCATTCCCCCCCACCGCCCCGCCTTCGGCTGAGTGTAACCCTCCCGCTTGATTCTGTGTGTGGCCGTGGTGTGTGTCCCTCCCACAATCCATGACAGATCTTGTGTCAAGAAATCTGTCCTGATCTCACTGCTAACCAATTTCCGGGCTCCAATTTCTCTTCCCGTTTAACTCCCGTGATGGATTCGGATTTACTGCCGTGTGTTTGGCCGGGAAATCCCGTGTTCCTGAGATCCTGAGTGACTTTTCTCAACCTCTCCCTCTCTCCCTCCATTCTCTCTCCCTCCCCCCGTCTCTCTCTCTCTCACTCTCTCTCCCTCCCTTTCTCTCATCTATTACATCTGCTCTTGTTAAACACAATTAGTTCAATCAGAGTGAGTTAATCGCGGTCCTGTGTTGCTTCGATCAGTTCCAGAAACTGCAACCACTGCAACACTCCTCCCTCCCCAGGGACGTGTAGTCAGTCCACTTCACTGGCTCCATCTCAACCCAAATAATACTGTGTAAATAACATAGAGACAGCGCTCAGTCTCCAGCTAGTAATTGGTTACACAGGCTTCACACCACAGTCTCACTGGAGAGCATTTACTCTGGGATCAGGCTCTATTTTCATGTTGTCCTTGGATTAGTGTTTCCCTCCACTGAGCGTAAACTCTCAATCAGAGAGTGGTAAAGGGAGAGTTCGCGACTGAGAGGGTTTGTGCGTGAGAGGCTCGACTGTGCTAACTCCCTGCTCACCAGCCTTCCCAACTTCACTCCACAAGCTGCAGATTATTCGGAACCCTGCAGTCCGTGTCCTCTCCCGCACCAGACTCCATGACCCTCGTCCGGCTCCGCTGGCTCCCCATCCCTCAGAGGATAGAGTTCAAAATCCTGGTCCTCGCCTTCAAGGCTGTCCACAGCCTTGCTCCTCATGCCTCTGTGACCTATTAACACCATATAGACCTGTCCACTTCCTGCTCCATGTCCCCGCCTTGACCGCCCCACCATTTGCAGTTCAGGCCATCAGTCTTTCTGCCCCGACCCTCAGGAACTCCATCCTGGAGCGGCTCCGCTGGCTCCCCTATTGCCCACTTTCCCTCCTTCAAAGCCCATCTCAAGACCTTCTTCTTGAACCGTTGCTTTGGTCACCCTCCCTCTTCCGTCCACTTGACACCAACACCAGCTCGGGGCCAAATGGCTGATGGGCCAGTTCTTTGGGCCCAAGGTGAAAGGCACCGCGTAAAGGTAACGTGTTGTTGTCGTTGTTGTTAATGTTGCAGGTCAGTGGGACCATGTATAACACGGGCCGACACGTGTCGCTGCGGCTGGACAAGGAGCACCTGGTGAACGTGTCCGGGGGCCCCATGGCTTACAGCCACCGTCTGGAGGAGATCCGCCTGCACTTTGGCAGCGAGGACAGCCAAGGCTCCGAGCACCTGCTTAACGGCCAGGCCTTCTCCGGGGAGGTGAGCACCGGGGGGCTGGATGGGTGGGGAAGAGGGACCAGTGGGGAGAGGGGACGGCAGAGACGGGAAGGGCTGGCAAGGTGGCATGGGGCGGGGGAAAGGCCCGTGGGAGAAGGGGCTGGCGGGAGGGGCTGGGGGCGGGGGTTGGCAGGGAGGGGGAGGGAGGTCTTTCTGCCCCGACCCTTTTGTGCTTTTGTTGGTGTGGAAAGGAGCGGCTGGGAAAGGTCAGGAGCCTCCCCCGAGGAGGGAGGGGGGTATGGCACTAACAGCGAGCAGTAAGCCAGGTGGCAGCAGCTCTCTTGGTGAACATGGCGACTGTTCGGCTCCCCAGGGGCCTGGGGCCAGGGAGAGGGATAGCGACCGGGCCCTCTTCCCTCCAGGGTTGTGGGGGTGCACAGTTTACCTGGCTCAATCCTTGTGCTCTCAGGTCTAACGCAGGAGGTTGTGGGTTGAAGCCACCTCTGTTATTATTGTGATTATTGTACAGGCTCCTGGTTAATTAAGGCTGATTATTACTTGTGCAGTTGCAGTGCAACACTGGTTGGGGGTGGGGGGGGGGTTCATTGTCAGAGGAGGCGATGAGATGTTGGGGGGCTGATTGAGGTGGGGGTGAGATGTGGGGGGTTTGTGAGGGAGGAGTAGGGTATGGGGGTGAGGGGTGGGGGGGTTCTGTGGGGCTGTGGGAGTAGGGGGGAGGGAGTGACCTCACTGACGGTGTGTCTGTGGTGCGGCAGGTACAGCTGATTCACTATAACCACGAGCTGTACAGCAACGTCAGCGAAGCTTCCCGCAGCCCCCACGGCCTGCTGGTGGTCTCCATCTTCATAAAGGTACGTCAGTATCCGGGCCAGGCTTGCAGGAACCCACAGGGAATCAAACACCAGCCCTTTTGAAGGGAGAATAATCCCTTAAAAGAAAAATCCGGTCTCTCAACCCACTACTGTTTGTGGGACACTCACTGCTGTGCACAATTGGCTTCCGAGTTTCGCCTGCAAAATACACAGTCACTACACTTTACAGTATATTCTGTGAAGCACTTTGAGGCCTCTCAAAGACGTGATAAGGTGCTGTATCACGTGCAAGGATTATTATTATTATTATGCCAGTGCCCAGCCTGTCCAAGTGCCCCTTAACACATGTCTCTCTCACATCTCTCTCTCTCACACGTCCCTCTCTCTCTCACACGTCCCCCTCTCACACACACATCTCTCTCACCCGTCTCTCCCCCTCTCTCACACACATCTCACTCTCTCTCCAGGTATCTGAAATGGCGAATCCGTTCTTAAACCGATTGCTGAACAGAGACACGATCACCAGGATCACATATAAAAGTAAGAGCGATGGAGAGTCAGTGGGGATGTGTACAAGAGCAATGGATATTCGGGAAGTGACGGGGATATGGAGATAAAATATGGGAGAATGGGGTCAAACCACCTGCCGACAATGTAATGAAGTGGGGCAGCGGGCTGATGACCCCCTCCTGTCCCCCTCCTGTCCCGGGGCTCACTGTCTGACCAGTTCAATCCCAGATTGTTCAGTTCTGTTTTCCTGCCTTTTCCCCACATCACCTGCTTCCCTCTAGTGTTCGTCTGTTCCCCTCTTTTTTGGTGGGGTGGGGTTCCAGACGGGTGTCTGGCACATACAGAAACCCATCACCTGCTTAAGAGTCTCCAAACCAAGCTGAGAATTCCACACATCCCACCGACACATGGAAATCCCAGAGATACATTGTTGGAATGGAATGCACTCTCTCTCTCGCTCACTCATTCTCACTCTCTCTCCCCCTGGAAGGACTCATCCTGCTTAACTAATTCCGCAGAGTATTAGGCGCAGGTTGGCAAGAGCCAAGGCTTGGGGGAGCCCAGAATGTGTATTGGGGTAACTGCTGGAGTCTAACCAGCTAAAACCACATAGCTTGCCATCGATAGCGCTACCTGGCCATCTTTCCCCTCTGACACACCGAGCACCACCGTGTGTGTGTATGCAGGGGGTGGGGGGGGGGTGAAATGTGTGTGTGGGGGTGGGGTGGTGGGAAGTGTAACCAGGGTTTGTGTGTAACCTCTTGTCTCCTCTCCTCACAGATGATGCCTATTTACTGCAGTCGCTGAACATTGAGGAGCTATACCCAGAGACTCCCAGCTTCATAACCTACGAGGGCTCCATGACGGTCCCAGCCTGTTATGAGACAGTTTCCTGGATTATAATGAACAAACCCGTGTATATAACACGGATGCAGGTACTGACATCCTCCCTCCCTCCCTCACTCACTCCCTCACTCACTCACTCACTCGCACCTCACCTGTTTACACAGGTTCCCCCCCCACCCACACTTATCCACCTTCACTAATTCTCATTCTACACTGCTCACCTGTCCTGTCCACTCAAGTGTTCAGCCCTCTCTTTCCCTCTCTCTCTTTTTTCCTTCCTCTCATTCTCTCTTGCACTTTCTCTCACTCTCTCTTATGCTCTCTCTCACTCCCTCACTGTTGCCCTCACTCTCTTTTTCTTTATTCTTTCCTCTCGTTCTCTCTTGCTCTTTCTCTCACTCTCTCTCGTTCTCTCTCTCACTCACTCACTGTTGCTCTCTCTCTCTCTGTGTGACAGATGCATTCTCTAAGGCTCCTGAGCCAGAATCAGCCGTCACAGATATTCCTGAGCATGAGCGATAATTTCCGGCCCGTTCAATTACTCAACAACCGCTGTATCCGCACCAACATCAACTTCAGCCTCCCCGGGAAGGACTGTCCCAACAACCGGGCCCAGAAACTACAGTACCGGGGTGAGCTCCACGCTGCCCACTACCCCCAACTCCTCCTCCCCCCACCCCATCACCGCATGGCACACAGCTCCCACTGCTCCACCTCGGAGCACAACATACACCAACCAATGACTCCAGAGTCAACCAATCTGGGCATCTTCACGAGCACAAGCATACAGGCGCAAGCACGCAGATGCACACACCATTGCACGCGCAAGCACACAGACACACACACCATTGCACACCCGCACACACAAACACAGAGACACACACACCATTGCGCACGCGCACACACGCAAGCACGCAGACGCACACACCATTGCACACGCACACACATGCAAGCATGTAGGCACACAGACACACACACCATTGTGCACCCGCACACACGCATGCACACGCACACACACGCAAGCACGCAGGCGCACAGACACACCATTGCACACGCACGCATAATAATAATAATCCTTGCATTTGATATAGCGCTTTTCACGTCGGGAGGACATCCCAAAGCGCTTCACAGAACACACTGTAAAGTGAATTGACTGTATATTGTGGGCGAACGCGGCAGCCAATTGCGCACAGCAATGTCCCACAAACAGTCGTAGATTGAAAATGACCAATTTATTATTGTTTTTGGTTTTGGAGGGATTATTATTAGGCTCTGTGTGGAGTAAGGAAACTTGCCCAAGGTTTGGCCCTCTGCCTGGAATTGAACTCAGGTCCCTCGCTTACAAAGCGAGTGCTCTAACCACTGAGCTACAGGACTCCACGTGCAAGCACGCAGACGCACACAGCATTCCACACACGCAAACACGTAAACATGCAGACAAACACACCATTGCACACACGCGCACACAACAAGCATGCAGATGCACAGCACACACCATTGCACATGCACGCGCGCACACTCAAGCACGCAGACACACACACCATTGCACACACACGCAAGAACACACACGTGCACACACAAGCATGCAGATACGCACACTATTGCATACACACATGCGCGCACAAACATACACGCACAACGTACCCACATGCTCACACACAAACATGTGCACACATAACACTTTGCCACAACCGTCTGCAAACAGTTATATAACCACAATTATCGTGGAGGGCTGTAGCTCAGTGGTTAGAGCGCTCATCTCACAAGCGAGTGGACCCGGGTTTGATTCCCGGCACTGCGAAACCTAAGGCAAGTTCCTTACTCCACACGGCTCTGTTTACCAGCAGTAAGTAGGAATCCAGTTGTTAGTTGATTTGTTATAATGATTTGGTCACTCAATCCCTACTGTTTGTGGGACGCTGCTGTGTGCCATTGGCTGCCGCGTTTCCCCCACGAAATGCACAGTCAATTACAGAATATTCTGTGAGGCACTTTAAGACGTCTCAAAGACGTGATAAGGTGCTATATCAAATGCAAGGATTATTATTATTATTTTTATTATTATTGATCTATTGAGAGGGAATTAGACCAACCTTCATTAGAAGAAATAAAATAATATAAGAGCAGGGAATGGGGTTAGAGTAGAGAGCTCCAGTGGGGGAGCGAACACCAGCTCAGACACGATGGGGAGATTTCAGTTAAAGATTTCCTGTAACTTGTCAGTCGGGGTAGTGTGTGTGTGTGTGTGCGTGTGTGGGGGTGAGGGGTGGGGGGAGCGAAGGGCCTGCGGGGGGAAGGTGTGCACAGTTATTGTAACGTCCCTGTGTACCGATCATTTCTGAAGCCCCCTAAACTCGGTTGCATCTTTCAGCGCAACACAGCGTACAGTCGGGATGAGCTCCGAAGTTTATTCCCAAAACAAATTCATCCGAATTGGCCACGGAGGTAAGTGCAGCGACAGAGGCTTTCCTTCCCACCAGCCAGATCCAAACCCAGACAAATTCCAATACCCATTGGCATTCGCCCAATCCTGCTCATCCCTGCTGTATGGCATGTAACCAGCGTGCCCACCCCCTCCCCCACCACCCGCCCACCCAGCGTGGCGCTGTGTGCACACACGTGTGTGTATGTGTGTGCGTTTGCAACTCCGCATCACCCCCTGTGTGTACAGCACACGCTGGATAAAGGGAAACACTTCACTCCCGTGTGTGGCGTAGGTGTGTGCGGGAGGTTTCAGGGGAGGGGGGCTGGGGAGGGAGGCACGGGGAGAGGTTGCGTAGCAATGGGTGGGAGGGATTGGGCTCCACACTCTCGCTCACCAGCTGGTGTGAATGGTTCTCTGATGCTCTGTGTATGATGTGGGTTTTACAGCTGTGTGAGGGCTGACAGCACAAGATTGCCCCAAATTCAGCACCAAATTACCCTCCTGACTGTGGAGGGGAGCTCGGGGGGTGTACGGGGTGTGGTGGGGTGGGGGCTATGGTGGGGAGGGTGGCCAATGGTCTAGTTGGTGACCAGGTTGGCTTATCCCCACGTTTACTCTGTTGTCCTGACTCAGTGACGATGGGGCTGTGTATGTGTTGACGATATGAATTCACTCTCTCTCTCTCTCTCTCTCTTTCTCTCTCGCTTTCTCTCGCTCTCTTGCTCTCCCTCTCTCTCACAGTGAATGAATGGCTTCTGAAATAACACGAAGTCTCCCATCCCAACTACTAGCGGAGGGTTACCATAACAACTGGTGTCCGTCCACCGCTCACAACCTCCCAGACACTCACATTCACACGTGTGCTCAAAACACACACACACAGGTACTCGAACACACACAAACATACATACTCGCACAGGCTCAAACATGCACATAAAGACATGCACACATGCTAAAATAAGGCCATGCAAACACATCCTCACACGCACACATGCATACACAAACAAGCACATACACATGTGCACACACACACGTCCACAAGCACGCACATGTCACACACACACATGTCCACACACACAAACGTTCATACACACACGTCCTCACAGATAAACGTGCACACAAACGCACGTCCACACACACACACACGTACACACACACACATGTCCACACACACGATCACACATACACATGTACCTACGCAGACCGGGTTGTGAGGAGCCGAGATTCTTTTAGATTTAAAATTTATTTTACAAGAAAATTCAGAACAACGACAGAGATTTCTGGAATTTGATACTCGAACTTTGGGAGTAAACCTGGGAATATCGGGATATAACCCACCAGGCAGCCGGCCTCGCCAGCCACAGCGACAGGAGCCTTTGTACATACAGACTGGTCCTCGCTCCACACAGGCTCCAGCCCATTGTGTCACCGCGAGGAACTGAGAGACATCAAGGGAGGGAGAGGAGCCGGGGTTTCCCTTCCCCCCAACTCAACACCAGCCCCCCCTCAAACCCCCCCAACCCCCTCAACCTAGCACCTCAACCGAACCCCAAGCCAATACCCCAAACCCAACCCCAACTACACCAACTCGCCCCCTCAACCCAATCCCAATCGCCCCCAAACTAACCCACCCGCTCTCCCCCTCAACTCAACCCCCCACCAACACCCCCCTCAATCCTATCCCAACCCAATGCCGGTGCCCCCCAAACCCCCCAATCTAACCACCCCCTCAACCCAACGATCCCAACCAAACCTCTCTACCTAATCCAACCCTCATCCCAACTCTGCCCCATCCCTGAACCCTATTTCTCAGCTCAACACATTTGCTTCAGTTCTTCAGTCAGTGAGTGAGGACATCATGCCTGCGCGTGCAAATTATTTGTGTGGTGAGTCTTGTACATACATCCATTCCCTGGACATGGGCCGGGCGGGCACAGCGGGCAGATGACGGACACTGTGTGCCCGGTGCAGGTGCTGTGGGCACCGCTGGCCTCGGGCGGGGGGAGGGGGGAGGGTTGAGCTGTTGCCTTTTTGTTAATTGTTTACAATATTCATACACTGTGTTTGGTTTGAATGTCGGGAGATCTCAATAAATGTGGTTTGAAAAAAGTTAATCTGAATCTTTGTCATTTGCATTTGCAATTCTTCCCCTTCCGCCCACCCCCACCCCCCGGCAGGTCGTGGGCAAGTGGGGAGCGGGTGCAGTGGGTGGGGGAGGGAGGTGGGATGGGGAGGAGAGAACATCCCGTCCTGTGGTTTCTCAGCAACATCGCTCCCGGCATTGTGTTAACATTGTGGTAACAGCAGGGACTGTGGATCAGATACTAATCTGGAGAGAGGAGCAATTCACTGAATAAAAACGGATTTAATCAAAAGAGCTTTTGTGTGCGGCTCAGGGCAGAGCCTTTGCTGAGGACACGAGAGAAACTGGAGAATATGATGGTAGCTGAGAGCAAGACAGAAATTCATATCAACTCGGGAACCACGGATGGACGGGATTGAAGTTGAGAAACAGGGCAGGGAAGAGACACAGTGAAGCTCCCTCTATAGGGAAGGTAGACAGAATCTCTGCTCTGTTCAGATAGAGACAAAAATGATTAATTTTCACTGTAAAAATTACCACAATAACATTTTCTTAAAAATTTTAGTTTATTAAAGTAAAATATATGAAGCTCTTGACCCAGGCCCTTGTTAACCAATGTTCTTGTCTCTGGGTCAGAAGGTTGTGGCACCCAATGGATTAATAATAGAACAGTCACTACACCTCACAGCCATGAGTTGTGAAGCTTTGAGCTATTTCTCTGATGATTTTTTTCTGAAAAACAAAAAGGCAAAATGCTGGAAATCTGAAATAAAAACAGGAGTGGGTGGAAACACACAGCAGGTCAGGAAGCATCTAATCAGAGAGGACATTGACCTTTGATCATCGACCTGAAACATTAGCTCACCTTCCTCTCTCCGCAGACGCTGCCTGACCTGCTCAGTGTTCCCAGTCACTTTGGTTTTCCCTGTCGCTGTCCGTGATTATTGGTCGCCATCGTGTGGCCACACAGTAACATTACAGGGAAGGTTTGGTCAACTGGAATCATAGAATTATACAGAACAGAAGGAGGCCATTCGGCCCATTGTGTCTGTGCCGCTCTTTAAAAAGAGCTTCCAAATCAACCCCACTCCCCCGCTCTCTCCCCATAGCCCTGATCAACCCCACTCCCCCGCTCTCTCCCCATAGCCCTGATCAACCCCACTCCCCCGCTCTCTCCCCATAGCCCTGATCAACCCCACTCCCCCGCTCTCTCCCCATAGCCCTGATCAACCCCACTCCCCCGCTCTCTCCCCATAGCCCTGATCAACCCCACTCCCCCGCTCTCTCCCCATAGCCCTGATCAACCCCACTCCCCCGCTCTCTCCCCATAGCCCTGATCAACCCCACTCCCCCCCTCTCTCCCCATAGCCCTGATCAACCCCACTCCCCCGCTCTCTCCCCATAGCCCTGATCAACCCCACTCCCCCGCTCTCTCCCCATAGCCCTGATCAACCCCACTCCCCCGCTCTCTCCCCATAGCCCTGATCAACCCCACTCCCCCGCTCTCTCCCCATAGCCCTGATCAACCCCACTCCCCCGCTCTCTCCCATAGCCTGATCAACCCCACTCCCCCGCTCTCTCCCCATAGCTCTGATCAACCCCACTCCCCCGCTCTCTCCCCATAGCCCTGCAAACTTGTCCTTCCAAAATAATTATATACTTCTCACTTAAAAGTTGTATCAAATCAGCTTCCACCAGCCTTTCAGGTAATGTATTCCAGATCCCAAAACTTGCTGTGTGAAAATATTTCTCCCCTCTGTTTCTTTTAACAACTATTTTAAATCGGTGCCCTCGGGTTACTGACCCACCAGCCAGTGGTTTCTCCTTGTTCACCCTATCGAATCCCCTCATAATTTTGAAAACTTCTATTAAGTCTCCTCTTAACCTTCCCTGCCCCAAGGAGAATAATCCCGGCTTCTCTCGCCTCTCCTGATAATTGAAGCCCCTCATTCCTGGTACCATTCTGGTCAATCTCCTTTGCACTCTCTCCAATGCCTTGATATCCTTCCTAAAGTGTGGGGCCCAGAACTGAGCACAGTCTCTCGCTGAGGTCTAACCAGTGTTTTATATAAAGGTTCATCATAACTTCCTGACTTGTGTATTCTATGGCCCTATTTATAAAGCCTAGTGTCCCGTATACTTTTTAACAGCTTTATCTGCCTGTCCGGCCACCTTCAAACATTTACTTACATTTACTTTATTTACTTAGAACTGGAGGGTTCTGACAATTGACTGCCTGACTGCCCTGAAATTCTGCCCAGTCTCAGTCTGCGAGACCATTTACCTTGAACTATAATGTGGCACAGAACTCGGAAAACCCTTAAACTCTAATCAAGGCTCAATGTAAGAATTTTCCATGATTCAGCGCAATCCACATTGAGCTCTCGTTCATGCTTATATTCTGACAGGCAAGTGTCGGGGCAATTTTTCACTATTTCTTAAGATTTCCTATTAAGAAATACCACCAAACCAACACCATCAATAAAGAATAAATGGCAGGGGAAGGAGAGGAGCTGAAATAAATGCAAGTCACACCTTGACTTCACGTTACAAAATGCAAAAGAAATCTTGAGGGTGATTAAATGTCATCCCTGAGCTCACTGTCATAATAACAATAATAATCTTTGCGTTTGAAAAACCGCCTTATGTCATTGAGACGTCTCAAAGCACTTCGCAGAATCTATTGTAAAGTGTAGTGACTGGGTATTGGGTGGGCGAAATGCAGTAGGCAATTGAGGACAGTCGTGTTCCACAAACAGTTGTGGATTGAGTGATATTTTTGGGATGGTTTATTACCTGCGGAAAGCGATACATCAATTGACTAACAACCGGGTTCTCACTTACTGCTAGATATACACAGTCGTGTAGAGCAAGGAAACTTGCCTAAGGTTTCGCCCCGTCTGGGAATCAAACCTGGGTCCTCTCACTTGCGAGGCGAGCGCTCTAAACCACAACATTACAGGACACCACATATCACACTTGTACGTACACACACCCACACACACACAGTCAGTCACAGACAGACAGAGCAATCCTGACAGGGCTGTAATGTTGGCTTTGCTTTAAAGGAACATTTCTGTGATGCCTGAATATTCCGATGTGCTGAATGAATCTTTCAGTTGCAGGAAAGTGTTACTGAGGCTCTGTGGAGGTTTTTGCAGTTCCCCAGAACAACCAGACGAGGACTCCATTGTCCAGCTTTGAGTTGCAGAGGGACATCCCAACACCTGGATGTTTTACATCAAAATTTGCAGATGACACAAAGTTAAGCGACACAGTAAATCGTGTGAATGGGAGCAGGAATTTACAAAGGGATTTAGACAGATTAAGTGAGTGGGCAAAACTGTAGCAGATGGAATTCATGTGTGAGGTCATCCACTATGGATCCCAAAATAGCTAAACAGAATATTTTCTAAATGGGGAGAAACTAAGAACTGTGGATGAGCAAAGGATTTGGATGTCCACGGACACAATTCACTAAAAACAAACTCACAGGTACAAACATCAAGAAGGTTAATGAGACATTG